ACCAGTCACCACAATGTGGTCGTTATAACAACTGAACCAGGGAAGCAGGAAGTGTACATACATACATGAATATCTTCATATAGTGAAAACAATCTTCATATTTTATTACTTGTTTATTTAGATTAACAATAATATACATTATGAGTGATGAAAGATTATCACATAAAATGTGACACCAACAGGCATGAGACTTCATTCAGAGATTATCATAGTATGACGTCACAAGCACGTCACAATCCATCTGCCTTCTACCGGGAGATATCTTTACAAAAGAGATCATTTAAAATTTCATCAGCTTTTGATTTCCATTTATTGAGAATATGAACGAAATAATTGACATTGTTGAAAGTCTGGATATAGTCTTTACTTTTTTTGCATCACCACTCATAAAAGAAGCAATAGAAAAAGCATTTATGACGAAATTAACAATAATTTTCCAGACAACCAACCCAAGTGCAACGCCCTTTTTCAGCAACGTATAACTTTTTCATAACGCGTGCCGATTTATAACAAAAAATATATTGTGAATACATTTTTACCAATCATCAATGATAAGTTACATACGGGAGACCGGGGCAAGTTCGGTTATCCCTGATATGTTTTGTTTTTGAGCTAATATTTACAAGTTTAAAGATCTTAGCAGTTTAGGGCCCATTCAACGACGAAAAAATGTCGAGGAAAACTTTAATGTAAAAAGATTTTTCAGGAGAAAATTAGATATTAAATCCCCAAGGCGTAACGGAAACCACACGAATTGTAATACATCGCCTATCCCAGTCTATCGCATTGCTAATTGCAGTAACTACTAACTAATTGACTGATTCCTGGGGTAATAGTCCAAATTCTACTTGTTGAAAAGGAGAATTATGTTCGGTATCACAGGGCCAAATTTTGTTGGACCCGTCGTGCAAGCAAAAATCACAGGAAGAAGAAGTTCTGGCCACACAACGACTGGACATAAATACATGTACCGTACTATTTACCATTTTGATATTGAATATCAAAATGACATATCTAACTTTTCTTCTGACGATACTACCTTTTATTTTGAATTTTTGTGATAACATCATTTTGAATACGATGTTATTTTGTGAATGCCAGTTATCAAATTTTTCAGTAAGTGTCAACCGACATGTTAACAAAAGCCAAAATGGAATAACATAAATACTACATTTAGGAAATTGATTACGAAACCGGCCGTCTTGAATGCCATAAAATATAATTAGACAAATGATCGGTAAACAAGATTGTTCTGATGAGCTGTTCATTTTCGTATCTTACATGATTGGTTAGTGCAAGTTATACAGGTATGTATGATACTGGTTTGGCTAAAGCAGGTTATACATTTACATACGACACAGATTTCATGATGGCAGGTTTTACATTAATGTAAGATACAGGTTTGGTTAGGGCAGGTTGTACATTAATGTAAGATACAGGTTTGGTTAGGGCAGGTTGTACATTAATGTAAAATTCAGGCTTGGTTAGGGCAGGTTATACATTAAAGTAAGATACAGGTTTGGTTAGGGTAGGTTATACATTTATGCATGAAACAAGACTTGATAGGTGAGGCTATATATTTTTGTACGATACAGGTTTGGTTAGGGAAGGTTAAACGGATACGTATGACTGTAATCTAGTATATCCCCTTAAGCTACTTAACAATACCAATGTGATCCACGTGATTACTAGTGTACAATACTCTACCTGATTTTTCCTCCCTTCATACTTGGCCTGTGTATAACCCCCTAGAACATATAACATTACAACGACCTATTGTTTTACCACCATATTTAAATGTCACTCCAGTAGAATTGTGTTAATTCCGAGGTATTTTTTGTCACTCTCGTGTCTTCTTTATTCCAATACGGGTTTTCGTTCTGCTTGTTTAAGTATGTTTTCCTATCGATTATTAGGTCTGATGTTGTCAAACAACAGATCTAACATATATCAGATATATGATACTTGATGTCTCTTGTATGACGTCACATTAGATAATTGTCTTCGTGTAACCACAGCAACACGTTTGTTCAGTAAAAACCCTTTATCAACATTCATATATGCAATGCAATCTATCAAATCTGCCACCATTTTTACTGGCGGATCATATCGTCATACACATGAAGGGTAATCCGTCCCATGAGCGACATATCACAAGGCAGTTAGAGACTTGTCCACATCGCCTGTAGCCGACCTCGTCATCAGACCTCAGATGTTGCATGAGTCCCCAAAAATACGAAACAGCTAGAAATAAACAAGTGCCTCTATATGGACAAAGTTAGAAGTTGATTCTTTGGTTTGAAACCAAATGGACGTGCTAGGCTAGTGTGTGTCGATCATTACTTGTCATTTCATCGGTATATCATGTATATCGAAAAGTGTTGCTATTAGAATATCACTTTATTATTATTATATTTTGTTCTGTTCGTTATCAATGTGATACGTTATCAGATAAAGTGTGTGATTGTGTGTGTGATTGTGCACTTTTTCAGTGCCTTTCATAATATCTCTCGCATTATAAAATTAAAAAGGCTGTACTTTCACTCACTTTATGTAAATAGTGCCAGCAAAAATCTAGCTACAAATCATTATGCGTTGTATAGGCTTTCACATATATGAACACAGCACCTTGAATTTATAGATTAGCCGCAGACCCAACTCGCTGGTAAATGACAAGTCAGTCCACTCCTAAGTATCGTCTGTTCTGTCACTGTCCATAGCCATAATACACGTAGTTGTATGTAGGATAAAACATTCAATGGCGTAAGATTTACATCGACAGAACTATGAATATTTAAAACCCAAACACAGCTTTGTTGTAATAAATAAAACAACTCCCCACATCATTGATACTGCATGTCACAAGATATATCAGTTCACTTACTGTTTCACTGTCAACGATTGCCAATCGATATCAGTAGACAATTAACAATATCGTTTAACCTTTTGCCAATTGACAAAATACGACGGCGTATTTTTCCGACGTCAGCCGATGATTTATATCATCTTCAAGATTTTTCTTTTAAAAGGTGATTCTTACACAGTCGGATTACCCTACGTCATTGGTCAACATTCACTGTTGTTTGCTTGACGTTTTTCAACTTTCTCACAATTGTGTAATTCTACCCCACGTCAGTGCATTATTTAAACTGGCGTATTGTCCGACATAATCATCATCAATTTTTGTTTGCTTCAACAGGAGATACTTTGAAGGTCGTTTTACTCGACTTCAATAGACGATTTATACTGACGTGTTAGGTTACCCATCGTCAATGAGCAATATATACTTCCATGTATTGTTCCCTAAATTCAATAGGCGAGCTTCACTACCGTGTACTGTTACACAATGGACAGGTTACTGTATTTTACCCATTGTCAGTGGACGATTTGCTCTGTTGTGCTTTGTTGTGCGACGTTAACCAGCAATTTACACCGTTTTGCTTCCCGACAAGGCATAGTTTATGGCTCCTTTTCAACAGAAAGAATATTTTTGGAAATTACATGTAAGATTTTAATTACGATTTCAACATATGTTATGAATCAGGACTAAGTATTAAACGCCATTGGCATATCCGTATTATATGATACTTTGTATATCCTGATATTGTATCATTTGCCTCTCATATTATCCATCATATTGTCTATCATATGGTCAAATTCGCACTCCTTGTTTAGTACATACTTAACACTCACCTTTTAATACTTTGCACTTATATTTAATATCATATTAAGACTCCTATGTTTTTCCACATATAAGAATAGTCTGTACTCATATTGGTATACTTTGTGTATCTATATGCAGTATTGCATTATAAATCCTTATTAAAATACGTTAGATATCTATGTCACATGTTGTGTGCATGCACTGCTCACCCCTGCAGGTCGGGGATAAAGAAACGAATACACCTGCTGTTACCCACTGCATGTATCGTAAGAGAAGACTAATGTGGAACCTTCTGCAGAATTGAGATTTACTTATGTGTCCTCTACTTATAGGGAAACAAATCTCCTGCACCCTATGCCAAATTTGGGACTTTTGTATTTCTCTCTGCTTTGATGAACGATTGCCTATGTACTCTGTCTCCAGGCTGGGACATACCAAAGTCCTTAAAAATAGTAGTACATACCTTTTGAATTTTGTTAGACGTTTAACATTAAATTTGAATGTTTTGTATTGTCGTCGTATTCTTATACAATGTATTTTGTATTTGCGACATATTGTAATAATTGTTAATCATATTTTTATACTTTGTATACCCTCGAAATGAAAAAATTTGTGAGACGTAAATCCTCAGATTGTAATACTTTGTAATATTTTCATATTTTGCATGGCTGACGTCAACATGTTTTGGTCATATCGACGGAACCCCGTTATAACGTGGTTTGCGCCCCTGAAGAATTCTGCCTACACGTGTTTGATTAAGATCGCAACGGGATAACATTTAATAGACCGCCATTTTAACACGAGGGATCAAAATCTTGTTATCTCTGGACGCTGATATCGTGTTATCGCCGGACGTGGATAAACGCTTCGTACAGTTAATACAGTCAGTTAGGGATAATTCGTGTGCCTTTTTCATGTATCGAGAGTTTGTCTAACTGTCCCTGCCTGCACAGTATGTCCCCTGTCGATATGTAAACATATCAGAGTTTGTGGGGACCTGTTTTGCTTTGTTTGCACTGCTGGTAAAAGCCATTTTTTTGCCGATGTTCAAGTAACATAATTTGCAATAATATTTGATAATTATCAAGTAACTACAAAAAAAAAAGCTAAGAATAATTATAAATTTTTGCAATCAGCGCTTTTCGCAATGTATGTTTCGCGTTATGTATCAAGAAAGAGAAACACAATATCAGCCATACATATTCCTGACATTTTGATAAATTGTTTCTCCCCACATTCCCCATTTCAATATTACTAATGGATGCCATCAAACTATCTATAAATACATGTTGAAATAGATTAAAGTACACGTGCAGTAGAGATCCTGATAACTTACCCACAGAAGCGGTTGATCCTTTATATATTCTATCCGAGAAGGAAAGCATCAGTCCAATCAGAGAAAATATCTGAAATAACAAAAAAATGTAAATAATTATCTTAACATGCTGTTCTGCGATATCTTTTTGAGAGTCTGATAAAATAATGACGACAGGAAGGTTTGTTTTTTATACTATTACTCTACCAAAGGTCTTACAGGAATGCTGGTAATGCAGGTGCATAGCTCTAAACAATTATTCTGCCGAGATAACAAAAGGAATCACTGTTATTTTATACATTGAAATAATCCATTGATATACCGCAACGTACATTGAGCACACATACAAGCGATGATTAGATTATCTGCCATTCACATACAGAAGTACATATGTCACATTGTTGTACATTTGGCTTTGAAGAGCAACTTGAGGTAAATTCCTGCTCGACTTGAGGTAAAATCACATACACGGTAGCATCAATATCGTCAACACTGCAGAGTGTCTGAGACAGGTTCACATACACACTAGAGCAACGATCGTCAACACTGTAGAGGATCTGAGAGAGGATCACATATACACTGGAGCCGGAATCGTCAACAACTACAGGGACCGGCAGGTGTTTAGTACTGATATCGTTACCCATAACAGCGGTACAGTTAAAAGTACGTGTGTTTTTCAACACAATGATAGCGAACACTGTTTATATAGGTGATTCCCGCTTCCATACCAAGGTACTGCTGCTGAACCTAACCACGTGGCGATGATCAGTACTTCGTTAGCGCTGCACAGCCAGGACTGTAAGTGTGTTTCAAGTGCATGGTTATCAGCCATCATATTCCTCAGGGCTTTTGTTTTTATCAAAGTTAGCAGCATGACGCAATAAAAGATTTTTTCCGTATTTCCTATTGAAAAAAGAACCCTGGGAGTTAGCGACAGGTCAAATCTCAAATAAGATCTGAATATTTTTACTAGGCGTTAACTTAATCAAAGTAATGTATCAATATTGATGATAGTGGTCGCGGCTTCGGCACACGGGACATTCTCGTAACTGAGATTTTTATGAAATGTGTGTCAGTAAACAATACAAATACCAAGGTCGACAGCATTTATTATTTGTATGACTACAAATATTATATACACAAATTATATGACATTTTGTACGGATATAACACTATACACAAATTATATGACATTTTGTACTGATATAACACTATAAACCGATGTAACATAAACCGGTATGTTTTTCTGTACCGCCTTGACATTAAAAACCGATATGATATTCTATACCGATATCACGATATAAACTGATATAATATTCTATACCGATATTACATTCTATACCGATATGACACCTTTACCTATATGCCATTTTATACCGATAGATAGTCTAAACTGATATAACATTTTATGACATTTTGTACTGTTATGATATGATCCAAATATGACATTCTATTCCGAGATCATATTAATAGTGAAACTATATGCCATGCTGGATTAAGTCTGCAGACTAGACGTTGTGCTATCACATTAAATGAATGGACAGTCTGTTCACTAAAGTGTAATGTTGATGTCCCGTAAATTAAAAAACTTTGCAATTGATATTACCTACACTTTCCGACTATCGCCCACAGTTCACTAGACTATTTCGTTCTAAAGATTTAATGCAGTGCTACAATACAACATTAACCATAATTTACAGCATGTGACCGTTCCGGAATCAGAGTAGATATGTTTACAGATACAGAAGGCATTTTATGCAAAGTAATCTTATCAATGCGTATATTAAAATACCATGCTGTGCAGTTGTATATTTTATTTGCCATGAAACCACTCGTACAATCCCACGTGCACAGTACGCGACCATGCGGGATGAATTTAATTGTATATCATGCTCCATCTCCAGACGATATGTTCGGACTTTTTTGAAGACAACGATCAGTTCACTGAGATACACTCTTCCCCTTACCTTCCCATCCTGGGAAATCTCCACGCTTTAGTCTGCTGATAATTTTGATGTTCCGTCTGTTTTACCTAAACCTTGTGTGACTCATCCATCTAAGTAACGAAAGTTTAAACTAGCTCTCCCCACACTGATGTTAATACATTGTATACTATATACGTCCGGGTTCACAGAGTGAAACAACGGTGAACGATGCAACAGGTTAGGTTCAAATTGTAGGTGCTTATACTGTGTTACATTGTGGCTATATGTAAAAAAAGAAAAACAGCATTTGATATCGCGCCCTATCTAGCTAACATTAGTCACTCTACAGAACTCTACAGTACATAGCTATACAATTAATACAATTAGCATACACATTAATCAATACAATTAGCATGTACGAAGCCGTTCTTAGCAATAGCAGCGGGTTATACTCTCGCCTGGCATGTTATAAAAAACTGACAAATGCACACCATATAAAGACAGGGACATGTTTTGTGATACATGCTTATACTTTAATGACAAATAACATGATTTCATAACAGACACGATTTGATGACGAAGGTACAGAAGCTAATGACAAAGGGCATGCTTTCACAACCTAAATAATGGTTTACCGACAACAGCTCAAAATCTGATGACAAAAACTGATGACTTGACGCAAAAGTTAAAGTTGTTATACAAAAATACGTGTTATAATGAGATATCGACATAGGGTTAGAAAAGTACTTAACATTAGACAGCTCTGATGTCCATATAATACTGTTGATGACACAATACGTGCTTTCCTGTGCGATATTATAATTCACAGACAAATAATAAAGGACAAGTCGAAACTTACAACAAGGCAGCATGTATTTCAAAATTGATATCTAAGTAGTTGCAATTGTTTTACACAAACTAATCTTCCTATGCTTCTGGTGATTGAGTAAGCTCTTATATAAAATAACGTTTAAAGATGTCAAACATTGTACATTTAAACAGACTAATTGTCAAGTTGTTTACTTCTTGTCTCTCGTTATCACCTCGCTTCTACCCACAGCCATTCGTCGCCGCACACACTCTTAGTGATAAGGCATCTGCAGTAACCATAGGTCGTTAACTACGGGTTTACAGCGATAAATTAAATGTACAAGTCAACATGGATGAGTATTCTGTATCATTGGATCTGCCGGAAATGCACCGAAGACGCAGGATGGTAAAGATGTATCCTGACTCATCGTAATTTATTATCTGTTACTAAATATTCTACATCTACACTTCTACAGACTATGGAATCAATATAACTTCAAATACATCTGTGTTTTTTATCACCAAATTTCCAGTTGGCGGATGAATGCGTTAGCAAATCAGTGCGGGAAGTGGTTTCAAGATAAATTGTTTTCAATTTGTTTCTTTTTTTTCTCAGAAGTTTCCGAATGAAATGAACATATTGGTTGATGAAGTCACATTCTTCCGCACCTTCCGTGTATTAGACTTCTTGCAATATCTTCGATTTAAAAAAAAAATATCTATAAATAAAATCACTCTGACTTTAAATATGAAAAATGAATCATAATCTGACACAAATTTGTTATGACCTGCTTTGCGATTTGCAGTTCATCAAATATGTCTCCCTACCAATTGAGGTTTTTACCCAATACACCTCAACAGAACAGGATTCAATCCTTAAAAAGACCAGAAAAGTGTCTAACCTTTCAAATGTTATGACGGGAACATGGTTTCTGTCTGTATGAAATGTTTTTTTTTTTAATCAAGCAGTCACTGACTACTCAATTATGTCGTATCCTTGTTGTATGTAGGTTGTTGTGTTAACGTGTGCTGTCATTGTCTTGTGCTTTTTATATTAATGTGATAATGTAATTTTATTACATAAATGACCCATTTTACTACGTCATACGACCATGTCTTTAATATGGTAATACACACGTGTAATAAACCCTATAGGTGCTGCGATTGGCCAAACCCGTGAGAACAACTGTCCTACGCCACTTCAGGTACTACTGTATCAACTTTACTGTGAACTTTTACCTGAAAAAATTCCGAGTGGTTACAATGCCAAATTTGATCATGGTTTACGCAGCAACTAAACAAACATCATCACAAGATGATCCAATGCGATCCAGGAAACAGCCAGAATGATTCAGTAGATTGTGCACCATGATGCAAAGAATGATCAAGTAGTCGGGAATTGAAACTCAATTGTCAAATCATAGCGCTCGGAAATATCTCAAACCCTCTGTGAAAGAAATATTCCCCAATTCAAATTATGCAAATGTCCGGACACAAGACCGTTTTATCTATTAAATCTATAGTCATATCAACGAAGATCATCAAAAGCAGATTTCACAAATCTGAAGCTCTGGAAAGTCCGATTCTGTCACCTGCCAACATGTTTTTACTGTCAAGTATTTCCGTGCAGCAAATTGGCAACATTTTGATCTTCGATGTGAGAGATAAGAAGCATTTTCAATCAATATTGAGTGGTCCGATTAGCGGAAGAAATTTTAAAATTAATATCAACCAAGGTGATCAATCAGAACCAAATAAAAAAGTATCTGAAAGTCTATCACGAAAGCGATTCTCAGTTAGCTACTCAGCTACTGCGACTGATTGAAGCGGCGACATATGAGGCGTGACGTCACATTACTGTGGACTTTATCAACTGTACTTTTTCTAATAAATCTTAATACTTTTACTATTAAATGAATTTTAAATGTTTAGTCTGTCATAATTTTCATTGCATTAAAACTGTTCATTATTAAAAACAATAGCAACATCAAAACAATGGAACTACTTTGCACTGCGCGGAACAACAATACTTTGATCGGAATACTTTGGTTTTTACCTATATAGAGTCAGCTGATAACTTTTAATTTGATTGATTCTTTTTTCTCAAATTATGAATGTCATGTGATAAATAGAATCTTGCTTTCATGTCCGTGTAGTATTGAATTTATCAAACTCGTTCAATAATTTGACATGACACTCGCCTAAAGGCTATCAAATTATTAAACTCTTTTAATAAATTCAATATGACATGGATACTCACGTAAGGTCATCAATATATGGCATAGAGGTCAAATAGACATACATCTCTTTTTATGTTGCCATTTAAAACTTGGTCATTTGTTACGATTATACAAAT